CCTAAGCACACAGCCAAGATAACAAAGGAGTGGCTACGGGACAACTCTGTGAATGTCCTTGAGTGGCCCAGCCAAAGCCCAGACTTGAACCCGATTGAACATCTCTGGGGAGATCTGAAAATGGCTGTGCACCGACGCTCCCATCCAACCTGATGGAGCTTGAGAGGTACTGCAAAAAAGAATGGGAGCATCATACTCAAAGACTTGAGGCTGTAATTTGTGCCAAAGGTGCTTCAACAAAGTATTGAGCAAAGGCTTTGAATACTTATGTACATGTGATTTTAATTTTTTTTTCTTAACGTATTTTATTTTTAATAAATTAGCAAATTTTAAACAATTCTTTCACATTGTCATTATGTGGTATTGTTTGTAGAATTGAGGAAAATAATTAATTTAATCTATTTTGGAATAAGGCTGTAACAACAAAATGTGGGGAAAAAGTGAAGCGTTGTGATTACTTTCCGGACGCACTATATAAAGGTGACTTGACTCTTCTTCGATATCAAAATCTGCCATGTGTATGTTTCTGGTTAAGCTCGGTGGACAGCATCTGCTGCATGCTGCTGATTACCACAGAAAACAAGTTAGACTCTTTTCATTTTGGAAAAATAAACAAAATTGTGTCAGTGTGTTTTTTTTGTTGTTTTTGTTTTAGCTTTTGAGGGGCAAATGATTTTCTGTTGTAATCAACAGCATCTGTGGCATGCTTCCTATTGAGAGAAAATAATTTTGACTTCCAGTAGAAAGGTTATCTTGTGCTAATTCAACTTTTCATAAACACTGTACAAATTCAGGTCTGCACATCTTAAAACTGCCAAAGTAAGGATTGAACATCTTAAAAATGAAGGCCTGAACATCTTAAAAATGTCAGAGTACAGTCTAAACATCTTTGAAAATGCCAATTTAAGATGGGGACATCCTTAAAAATTTTAAATTTAGGCATGTACATCTTAACAAATGTCTAAGTATGACCTGGGCATTTTATAAAATTCCAAATTAAACCCTGAACATCTTTAAAAAGACGTCAAAGTAAGGCCTGAACATCTCAGAAAATGTTAAAGGCCTCAACATCTTTAAAGGGGTCATATGATGTTGCTAAAAATAACATTATTTTGTGTATTTGGAGTAATGAAATGTGTTTATGTGGTTTAAGGTTAAAAAACACATTATTTTCCACATACTGTACATTATTGTTTCTCCTCTATGCCCCGCCTTTCTGAAACTTTTTTTTACAAAGTTTTTACAAAGCTCATCGGTCTGAAAAGCGAGGTGTGCTCTGATTGGCCAGCTATCCAGTGCGTTGTGATTGGCCGAATACCTCACGAATGTGACGGAAACGCTCCTACCATATTGTGATGATGCCCTGTCAGGCCGGAGCGACAAGACAAAAACATTAAAACCCATTATAAACGAGGCATTTGTTGCATCCAGTGGGGACATAATTACGGATTATAATGACTTATACTGTCTTTTTACGCGTTGCGTTGATGACGAAGCGGATATCGTCCTCTTTTGGAAGGCCAAACAAAGTAGTTTCGCTTTCACAACGAAACACACAGCGCCTTCATGACATGGCGGCGGCAGCAACAATACTACAGCGAGAATAAAAGCTACGCCTTCTTTCTTTGCGTGAACATTTGGGCGGCGTTAGCAAATCTTCCCACATCGTAGAGGTCTGCACGGGCTTTAAAGTGAAGCCCGAACTCGGCCCGTACCTGAGATCGTCTGACCCGACCCGACCCGACCCGAGCGGCACAGTTAAATTTAGAGCCCGAACTGAACCAGAAATCTTTTTTTTTCCCCACAACGAATAGCCAATTTTTAAAAAATGCTGTATTTCACGATTGCATGCAACGGTCAGTAAGCAAATACATGTAAAGAAACAGAATCATTAAGGCTCGGCCAGTTCACAAGGCAAAAGAAAAAACACCACTTATGAAAGTTTATGAACATCACGTGCAGCGGTCACAAATTCTGCCTAGTTTTTGAATAGTTGTATACGACAAGACTATAATTCTTCCACCGTTCAAATTATGGTCATTTTCGTCAGTTAAGGCTCGTTAGCATTCGGCCTGCTTTAAATCAGACACAGAGATGCAGTGCGGTAAGATCGCATTTATTTGAATTAATTGGGCTAATTATATAATTTATTTGAATTAGCAAGCAAGAGAGAGAGAGAGAGAGAGAGAGAGAGAGAGAGAGAGAGAGAGAGATGAAAGTTGCATGTGTGAACCTGTGTCTACGCGTCTCTCTCTCCAAGCAATGAGGCTTAGTTCCTTCAAAAACAGCGATTTTATCCCCTCATTGCAGAGAAATATAACGTTGCGAGTCAGTAGCCTGTCGAAGCTATTTTACTAATAAAAGTTACCGTGCTGTGTTGTCGTGTGCAATAATGTGTG